TGCTTTCATTGGCAAATTTGTGGTTGTTTATTTTGATGACATTCTGATAGATAGCAAGAATTTAATTGAACATATTGAGCATGTGCGAATGGTACTAGAGGTGTTGAGAAAATAAAAGTTGTTTGCTACTTTAAAAAGTGTTCCTTTTGCACAAATCAGATTGTTTTTTTAGGGTATGTTGTTTCACCTGATGGAATCGCAGTAGATGAAGAAAAGGTTAAGGCTATTAAAGGAATGGCCGACACCTAAACATATTTCTGAGGTACGGAGTTTTCATGGCTTGGCGAGTTGCTACTGGAGATTCATCAAGTATTTCAGCACAATTGCAGCACCATTGACTGAAATTGTGAAAAAAAGTGTTGGATTTAAGTGGGAAAGTGAACAGGAGAATGCTTTCAATTTAATTAAGGAAAATTTAATTTCTGCACCGTTACTTGCTCTACCTGATTTTACTAAAACTTTTGAAATTGAATGTGATGCATCAGGTATTGGCATTGGTACTGTTTTGATGCAAGAGCGACGACCTATTGCATTTTTCAGTGAAAAATTGATTGGTGCAGCACTTAACTATCCTACTTATGAGAAGGAGATGTATGCATTGGTAAGAGCTTTAGAGACATGGCAGCATTATCTTTGGCCTAAGGAGTTCATGATACATACTGATCATGAGTCGTTGAAGCACCTGAAGGGACAAGATAAGTTGAATAGACGACATTTTAAGTGGGTGGAATTCCTTGAGACGTTTCCCTATGTGATCAAGTACAAGCAAGGAAAGGAAAACATTGTGGCTGATGCATTATCTCGTAGGTGCACACTTATCTCTACCCTAAGTGCAAAGTTATTAGGTTTTGAGCACATTAAAGAATTATATGCTAATGATCCAGATTTTGCTAACGTGTTTAATGCATATGAGAAGATTGCTTTTGACAAGTTTTATAGGCATGAAGGGTACTTGTTTAGAGAAAATCGACTATGCGTGCCTAACTTTTCCTTAAGAGAATTGTTGGTAAGGGAATCTCATGCAGGAGGCTTAATGGGACATTTTGGAGTTAGAAAAACTTTAGATATTCTGAATGATCACTTCTTTTGGCCACACATGAAACATGATGTTGAAAGGATCTGTGAAAGGTGCATAACATGGAAACATGCAAAATCTAGAGTTTTACCACATGGTTTGTATACTCCTTTACCCATACCTACTGAACCTTGGGTTGATGTATCTATGGATTTTGTTTTGGGCTTACCAAGGTCAAAAAGAGGCCACAATTCTATTTTTGTTGTTGTTGACAGGTTCTCGAAGATGGCACACTTCATTCCATGTCATAAAACTAACGATGCAACCAATATTGCGGATCTATTCTTCAAGGACGTTGTTCGTTTACATGGCATTCCAAGGACTATCATTTCTGATCGCGATGTCAAGTTCTTGAGTTACTTTTGGAAGACATTGTGGGGAAAGCTAGGATTACCATAATTTTACTTACCTCGCCTTGTCGGTATACAATAAGTAAGAATTTCAAGGTCTTAAGGTGGTGAAAGGGATTTAGAACCTAAGCCACATCGAAGAACAAACAAGATTACAACATACTCCATTTAACTAATTTGGTTCCTAATTCCAAAATCAAGTTTTTATCCAAAGAAACAACTTCCACCTACACCTCCCAGTCACTTCTATCCATTGAAACCCTATTAATAAATTTATATATATTCCTATGCATAATCATACTTAAAACAAGCCTAAAATAACACCAAAATATCCTACATATAATGGGTTTAGAAGGCAGATTACTAGACAAACAAACTGAAAAAATGTGAGAAACCAAGCTTAAATCTATCGTAAAACAGCAGCACAAAAGTTGGGTAGTAAGGTGGGGATTTTTGGTATTTAAAACAATCCCAAAATGCTTGAAGAAAGCCCTGAACAATAGGAAAATTTTGGGGCAAAACAGCAGCAAAAATAAGGTAGAATGCAAGCCAAAACTGAGCTGAAATGGACAGCATTTAAATAGAAAAGCAACAGCGTAAAGGCCAGCCAAAATCAAGCTATAACAAAGGGTTTTAGAGTAGAAAAACAGCAATTAAAAGTCTACTAAAACTATGTTGCGATGTAGCAGCAAATAAAGTGGGAATAAAACAGAAAAGAAAGCAAATTTCTATCAAGTTCTGGTCAAATTTCGAATTGGAATTTCCAATAGAATTCACACCCATAAATTGACTTATCTAGGTTGAGTGGTTAACATATAAATTGTAGCCCTATGTCTTAGAGTTCCATAACATCAAGAATTACCTTAATCCGACATCTACAGAGAGAGTTATGACTAAAATACTAACATAGGGTCTGGCTGCCAGTTAAGTCCGCCTGCAGGAATTGAATTTTTAAAAGATTTTCCACCAAGAAAATAGCTTAACTGGGTTAAATGTCCAACTTAAAAGTTGTAGAGCTATCTCTTAGCTTTCTATAGAATGAAAAATGAACTTAATCCAATAACTATAGAAAGACTTATGGGCAAAACACCACTGCAAGGTCATGCTGTCTAAATTTCTAGAAAAATGAGTCAAATCTAGTGGTACTGGGGCAAAACCAAGGAGGAAAACTACAAAAAAGAAAAAAAAAAAAAAAACCCAAAATTGAAAACCCTAAGAGATTAAAGTTAACCCAATTCAAATCAAGGATAAAAAGATGAGAAATTTGGTTGATTTCTTACCAGAAAGTTGCAGAAGAAGCACCCATTGAGCATTCAAGTCACAGACAAGGAAAGAAGAACAAAAGTAGAGATCTTGATGAGAAGAAGCTGCACCAACAAGAGGTTAGGAGGTTAATGGTTTCAAGGGTTTTGAATTTAGGATGGGAAAGGAGAGGAAAACCAGAAAAAGAAAAAGAAGAAGGCTCGAAAAAAGGAAAGAAACAGAAAAGGAATTAGGTTTTCCTGTCCCTTTTGTTCTATCCATCCAACCTCCCTTTTTTTCGCCACTAACATTCCCCAAGATTGAAGAGTTAGACAATTTGGTCCCATATTAAAATCCCTTTTTATATTAGTCATCTCATACCTAAGTTGATTAATCAATTAATTATTTCATGAGTGCTAAAAATTTGGGGTATTACATAGATATTAGTGACAAAGGAATTGAATTACACAAGTATAGGTCATAGGGAGGTTCATCGCAGCCCTTGACCTTTTTTGTCACTTTCGGTAGCTATAACCTGTAGTTAGATGTTGTTATTAGCCTGTGAGTGTTTCTCATTGTCATCATGATGGAAACCTAGAAAGCCACATATTTAGTGTGTTTTGGTGATTGAGATTTCTATATATCGAAGTTTGTACACTACTGGAAAACCAGGCAAATATGACAAAAACATATTTGACAGCCAACTAAACACATATTCGACAGTACTGGTGTCGAATAAGGTTGATTGTCGATGATAATCAATTTTTTGGCTCATAATCGACAAAAAACATATTCGACAACTATTTTGTCGAATATGTATTTTTATTCGATAGCCAATTGGCTGTCAAAGATGTATAATCGACAGCCATTCGATTATGTTTTTTATATATTCGACAGTATTGCTGTTGAATATGTAGGAAACATCGTTGTTTCCTCTTTATTGCTGTCAAATATACTCTATCATTAAGCCCCCGTCCCCCCTTTCTTTCCCCATTTCTTCTTTTTCCTCTACGGTGGATCTGGTTCATTTTCTCCGGCCCTGTTCTTACCGTTGTTGCTGGATTCTGGCTTCTTGCCATCAAGCCCCCTACTGTCGGAATATCCGGCTGGTGAGTTGGCCCCTCTCTGCGCAGCGATCTAGTGTTAATTTTTTTTTTCTTTGGATTTACATTCGACATTTGCAGATTTCCTTGTAGATCTGTGCCTTTTGGTGCAAGATCCATTGCCTCTAAGCCATGCGCCTCCATCCTGCCTTTTGTAAGTTGAAGCACTCTCTGTTTTTTTTTTTTTTTTTTTTTTTCATTTTTTTGTTGTTTCTTTCCTTATTTTTTCCTTGGATTTTAGTTTACAAGACTTTAATTTCATTTTTGGTATGTCAAAATCCAGCTTTTATTGCCTTCATTGCCTTCACAGCATTATGGTCCCCATCGACAAAGGTAATTGATATTTTTGTGGTTTTTTTATACAAAATTATATTGTTTTATTTGTAGATTAGTGTAAATTATTATTATTATTGTATAAATTATCAGTAAATTGCTATTATTTCTTTCAAGTTTTTGAGATTGAAATTCGTACGTTAATTACTTGCTTGAATAGTTTTTTTTTAGTAAATTTGTACATACAAAGTTATGGATTTTAGATTATTAAATTTGAAATTAAGATTGAGATTGAGGTCTAAATACCTTGAAATAGAGTGATATTTATATTAAATTTCTATAGTTACAAATTTGTTATTTATTTCAAATTAGCTCAATTTGAGAGATTGATATTGAGATTGAAATGGGCATTATTATTGAACTAAAATGATATTTAAATTGAATTTTTATATATCAAATTATTAAGATTAAAATCGATATGGTAAATAAACTAGAGTACTATTTATATTTAATATATATATTTATAAAGTTACTAAATTA